TCCATTTTCTCCAGGGGAACAGATCTTGGACATCTGGAGATCAACTGTAATGGCAGGCGATCTCCAGGTACTACCTGGAGGTTGGCAACCCTAGCCTGCTCTGATTGGCTGCTGCTCTTTTCTGTTCTTCTAGAAACCTCCTCTTCTGATTGTCAGACTGTGGAGGAAAGCACCTATCACGTGCAGCCCACAAAGCATTCTACTTAGGATCAGTGTTCCCTCTAAGCTGAGTTGGTGTGAGCTAGCTCACAGTGTTTTAGCCTCTGGCTCACACATTTTTGTCTTAGCTCAGGAAGGATGGCTCCAGAGCAAACTAGTTTATGCAGTAAGCAAATCACTCACTCACAGCTTTAATGCCAGTAGCTCACAAAGTAGAATTTTTGCTCACAAGACTCCACAGCTTAGAGGGAGCATTGCTTAGGGTCCATCTACACATTACAGAATCCTTCTGTTTGTTGGAGAATAACCTGCGGACTTTGCATCAGATGAGCGATGGGAGCTTTCTGCTTTCGCAACAAAAGCGGGCAGAGGGAAGGAGCTTGCTTTAGCCTCTCTCCCCCAGCTGTTTGTTGCATTTGAAAATCACCCCTTGGTGCTGCTGTTGGCTTGGCTGTTAAACCTACATATAGCCAGCCACATAAGTACCCATGATCTTAAAAATGGAGTAAGTGTCAGAAGGGTCGTGAATGAGAAAGTGGGGATGGGGAGGCTAAAGCCCCTTCTCCTTTCTATGTTGATCACATACATCTAGCAGGAGAGGTGACACAATAGCCACCTTCAAGTATTTGAAGGGCTGTCATATACAGGATGGAACAGAGTTGTTTTCTGTTGCCCCAGAAGGTTGGACCACAACCCGTGGGTTCAAATTAAATCAAGAGTTTTCAGCTGAACACTAGGAAGAAGTTCCAGACAGTCCGAGTGGTTCCTCAGTGGAACGTGGAGCAGAGTTCTATCGGTGGCTATTAGCCATAAGGTATAGATAGGGAAATTTCTCCAATTTTCTTGAAGAGATCTCTGGGAAGGACTAGAAATCTCTTCGAGAAAATTGGAGAAATCAAGGGAGCGTTCCATGCAAAGCTGGTCATGATAAAGGAAAAAAACGGTAGGGACCTAACAGAAGCAGAAGAGATTAGGAATAGATGGCAAGAATACACAGAAGAACTATACAAGAAAGACATTGATGTCCTTGACAACCATGATGGTTGTAGTCAGGAAGGAATTTTTCTCCAGGCCAGTTTGGCCAGGGATCCTGGAGGGTGCCCCCCCCTTCGGGGCATTGAACAGGGGTCACTGGGGGAATATGGGGGTGGTAGCTGTGGATTTCCTGCATTGTGCAGGGGGTTGGACTAGATTACCTTTTTGGTCCCTTCCTAGGGATCCCAAGTCCCCCCGGGGGGCGGGGAAACCCCCGCCCCAGAGGCCCGTTCCCCAGCGGTGCCGGATCGGGACCCGGGGGGAACTCCACCCCAACATGCGCGTCACCCGGAAGTGATGGGAGGACGCCGGGCACGCTGGGGGCAACGCCACGGCCATACAAGGGAAAACTCTATGGTTTTCCCTTGTATGGCCGTGGCCCCGCCCCCAGCGTGCCTGGCATCCTCCCGTCACTTCCGGGTGTGGTGCGCGCACACACACACAAGACGCCAGTCGGGAGCCCCCTGCTCCTGGCGAAGATAGACTTGGCAACCCTATCCCTTCCAGATCTATGTTTCAAGCAGAAGAGAGCCTCTCTCTCTGTGTGTGTGTGTGTGTGTGTGTCTGGGTAGGTGGGAAGCACGTCTGATGCAAAGTCCTCATGTTATTCCCCAGCCTGAACAAGGAGTTTGTAATGTGTAGATAAGCCCTAGGTTCATCCTGCCTCCTGTTCTTTGAGGTTCTGCGAAGCCTTTCTCAGCGCCTGAGACCCACTGCTCTTCTCACTCTCTGCATCTGTCTGGATTGCATTTACGGAACTGAACACAGCGGAGAATCTTGCCTTAACCTTTGGTGATATGCTTTCACTGTATCTGCTCAACTGAAAAGGGGCTGAACCCGCAGAGGTCCGGATCCTCCTCTCTCTGAGACACTGTGATGCTGGACGACCTTTCCAGGGTAGAACAGATTGGGATGATTGTAATGCACAGTGTACATCCTACAGGTGTCTCAGCTGAGCAGAACTTGCAAAACGTGGTGGCAAGACAACAGGCGTGATGAGGCACCTGT